ACAAGGGATAACAGCACCAGGAAGAAAACTGGGCAAGGACACGTGATACCCCAAATGCAAAACAGTCAATAAACAGAGAAAACAGTTTCCCCGACATGGCTGTTTCAAACTCAAAGAAAAGTTAAATTTCACCCATTAGCATATTCATTGTACTGGCTCACCCTTCTCACTCTTCACAGGCTGATGAATCATTTGACTGGTAAAGTTAACAATCAACAGGATTCTCCTGTCTCCACATTTGCAGCAGGAAGAGAATGTGAAACTAACACTAAACATTAAAAGGAAGAAAGGAAAAAAAAAACAATAACCCTGTTTTGGAGCAAATACCTGACCTGGATGATCCTCTTCCAGGTTCAATGATGACAGAAAAAGGTCAAAATGAGTCTTAAAATATCATTTCACAAAAAAGGATACTAATAAAACTACAATGAATCAAACTAAAAAGCTTCTGCACAGCAAAGGAAATCATCAACAAACTAAAAGGTAGCTTACTGAATGGGAAAAGAGATTTACAAATGACAGTTCCAATTAGGAGTTAAGGACATGAGTGAACATTTTTCCAAAGACATGGCCAACAGACAAGAAAACATGCTCAATATCACTAATCAGTAGGGAAATGTAAATCAAAACCACAATGAAATCTCACCTCACACCTGTCAGAATGGCTAGCATCAAAACAAAAAATAACAAGTACTGGAGAGTGTTTAGAGAAAAGGGAAACATTGTGCAGTGTTTGGGCAAATGGGAATTGGTGTAGCCACTGTGGAAAACAGTATGGAGGTGCCTCAAAAAATTAAAAATAGAAACACCATACAATCCAGTAATCCCACTTCTGGGTATTTAACCAAAGAAAACAAAACCACTAATTTAAAAATATATATAACACCCCTAGGTTTATTGCTGCAATATTTATAAGAGCAAAATATGCAAGCAATGCCAAGTGTCTATCAATGGATGAATGGATGAAGAAAGATGTGGTGTATATACATACATGCACAATGGGACTTTACTTAGCCATTAAAAAAAAATGAAATCTTGCCACATGTGGTAACATGGATGAACCTAGAAGGTATTATGTTAAGTGAAATAAGTCAGACAGAGAAAGACAAATACCATATGATTTCACTTATATGTGTAATCTAAAAATCAACAAAGTTGGGAGGGTGGGGAGAGGTGTAAGAGGTGAAGAGGATTAAGAGGTACAAACTTCCAGTTGTAAGTACAAAAGCACAGAACAAGGTATAGTGAATATGGTAATAACTCCGTATGGTGACAGTAACTATACTTACAGTGGTGAGCATTTTGTAATGTATGTAAATGTTGAATCACTAAGTTGTACACCTGAAAATAACACTGTATGTCAACTATACTTCAATTTAAAAAGAACTATACTGAGTCCAAATCACGGTTGCCAGAAGTTAGATATGGGGGAAGAATGTTAATATGAAGGGATAGTACAAGATAGCTTTCCCAGGATGATGATATTATTCTGTATCCTGATCATGGTGATGGTTATACAAATCTATAAGTGTGTTAAAATTCATGGAACTGTACTTCTCAAAAAGTGAATTATACTATGTAATTTTTTTAAAACTTTTATCTTTTTTTAAAATATTTATTTTGATAGAGAGCACCAGCAAAGGACAGGAGAGAGAGAGAGGGAGACAGAATCTCAAGCAGGCTCCGTGCTATCAGCACAGAACCTGACGCAGGACTTGAACTCACGAACACCGAGATCATGACCTGAAAAGAAATCAAGAGTCAGATGCTTAACCGACTGAGCCACTCAACTACCCCTAAAAAACTTTAAAAAGGATATATACACAAAGTTATAGGACCTTTATTTACATTCCCCAAAAACTAGAAACAACTCAGAAGTGCTTTAAAGGATGAAAGATAAAAACACTATGGTGAATCCACACAGTGGAACGGTACTTAGTAATTAAAAGGAACAAAGAATTGATATATAAAACACTGATACACTGCAAAGATATCATGCTAAGTGAAAGAAATCTTAAAAGATTACACACTATGTAATTTCGTTTACATGACATTATGAAAAATGCCTTATAGAGACAGAGAATGGATTGATCAAAGGGGGAGGGAAGCACTTGACTACAAGTCAGCAAAAGGGAATTTACAAATTTACAATTTTACTGTAGGTAAATTTTAAAAAACTAAACAAGTTGAAAAGTATATGGAAGGGGCACCTAGGTAGCTCAGTCTGTTAAGTGTCCAACTCTTGGTTTCAGCTCAGGTCAAGATCTCACAGTTCATGGGACAGTGTGAAGCCTGCTTGGGATTCTCTCTTTCCCTCTCTCTGCCCCTCCCCCACTCACTCTCTCTCTCAAAATAAATAAACTGAAAAAAAAATTATCAAATATGTCACATAAGGCTGAACAACAAAAAAAAGATTCAAAATAAACATGTCAAAGATGGATTATATACCATCAAAAGACTGGCAGTAAACTCTGAAACAATTTAAATGTAAAATTTTTAAGTTTAAAAATTAAGTTTAAATCACTGTGGTATATACGTGATTATAAAAACAATATGTAACTGTCATAAATAATTCCTGAGACAATTATATTAAAAAAAATAATAAACTAGGGCTAAATTTGCAGACCGGGTAGGTAAGAAATGTGGAAGACATACAAGGGTGACCACCCCTTAGTGGTGGGAGAGAAAAAAAAATTGGTAAATATTTCCTTGCCATGCATCTTTTTCCCCTGAGCAATCTCATCCCACTTTCGTGGAATCAACTATTTAAGAAAAGAAAGCTCCCAAATGTGTGACTCTCACATCTAACTGCTTAATCACAGATTTCACAGTCCATACTTCTCAAAAACACCTTAAAATCAGCACCTCCTCAAAAAGAAACCTGCATCCTACTTTTCATACCCCAAATCAGTTCTACTGATCCACTATTGGTCATGGCAGTTACAGTATGACCATTTACTCACCTGCTGAGCTCAAAAGTTCAGAAGCTACTTTTGATCCTCCTTTTTCATTCTTCTCCCACATTTAACCGGAATCACTAGCACCAGAATCACCTAAGGTATCTATTAAAAATGTACACCAGCAGGTCCTTTATGAAATACAGTTGTCCCTTGAACAACATGGGTTTAAACTTGTGTGCATTGGCATATATGTAGATTTTTCTGTTAAATACAGTACTGTAAATGTACTTTATCTTCCTGATGATTTTCTTAATACCATGTTTTCTCTCACTTACTCGACTGTAAGACTACAGTATATAATTCATGTAAGATACAAAATGTGTGTTAATCGACTGTTTAGGTTATCAGCAAGGTGGCTTCCTGTAAACAGCAGGCTATCAGTGGTTAAGTTTTGGATGAGTCAAAAGTTACACACAAATTTCCAACTATGGAAATTGGGGGGTGGGGGGGGCACCCCTGACCTGCACATTTGTTCAAGGGCCATCCACTGATCAGATTTTCCTACAGCGGAAGAACCGCTGCATTCCAAGAAGCATCCCAATAATTTAAGCAGCTTAAGGTTTGCAAACTACTGTTCTAGAATTATTATTTCAATATTATTCACCAGTGAGGAACGTTTGCTCAAATAGTTCCCTTGTCTGCAAAGATTAAGAAGCCACAGATATTTAAGTTCACACATAGAAACAAATTACTGACATTTTCTACGTAACAGCTTTCCATAGTAACCAACATAATTTCTTAGAAGAGCTTCTAACTTGGGGGACCTGGGTGGCTCAGTCAGTTGAGCATCCAACTCTTGACTTCAGCCCAGGTCATGATCCCAGGGTTGTGAGATTGAGCCCTGCATCGGGCTCCATGCTAAGTGTGGAGCCTGCTTAAGACTCTTTCAACCTTGGCCCCTCTCCCCTGCTTGCATGCTCTTCCCGTATCTCTTTCTCTACCAGTCAATATTTTAAAAAAGCGTCTAGTAACTTTACCCTTGCGGCATTTGAAAAGAAATTTGAATGTACTGTCTATGGAAAAATCTGCTAGTTGTCTACTATATCCATTCTCTCTTTTCCTCCTAAAAATAGGACCCCAATTTTCTTCTGCGATTTGGAACAGAAAACATTCTCCAGCTGTCTTGCCTTTGTGCCCCATGATCAAATTCTGGCCTACATGACACAAGCAAAAACAGTGCATAACTTCAGGAAAGTCTCACGAGTTTCAGAGAGGGTCAATAACAGAATAAGAAATCAAATTCTTCAATCAAAATCTCAAAGTCCATGCATTCCCAACTCTAAACTGCCTTCCTAAAGTCAGATCCTTCCTATACTTTATACAAGTGCTTAATTTAAATGTACAAATTATGAAAATGTTTCAGGAAGGGAGTGCCTGGGTAGCTCAGTTGGTTAAGGGTCTGACACTTGATTTTGGCTCAGATCATAACGGATCACGGTTGGTGAATCTCAGCCCCCTTACCGGGCTCTGCGCCACCAGTGTGTGGAGCCTGCTTGAGATTCTTTCTCTCCCTCTCTCTGTCCCCATCCCCTGCTTGCTCACGAGCTCTCTCTCAAATATTTTAAAAAATGGTTCAGGAAGGAGTTTCGGGGAAAAATCTGTTTTATCACAAATACAAAATAAATTAAATTCAAACATTTATTTAAAAGCTGTTTCAAAATCCTAAGCACGTTTTTGCATAAAACTAATGTTTAAAATTAGTGATTAGAGTCCCTCACCAGTTCCTAAATTTGCTTAGTTATAAATGCAGAACTTACTAGGCTTTGATGAATACAACTCAATGACCTTTACCCCCTGAATATAAAGAACAGGCAAATTCAGAGTAAGGATGACACTTAGGAAGGAAAGAGAAAAGGATTTAATGTGCCTGAGTCCCTCAAGGGAGTTTGCAGCGTTCTGTTTCTTAAGCTAAGTGGTTGGTTTCCTTCAGAATAAAGTTCCTAAACTCAAAACTTTCTATTAAAAGGCATTAAAGAACACCCATCCATATGTACCACCCCAAGAAAAAGACCCTACATACAAAAATCACTGTACTCTTACCCTACGCATGGCTTCCTCCTCTTCTTGACGCTTTTCATAATGTGCAAAGTCATCAAAGATTGAGGTGGTATGCTTGAAAGTAGCAATTATTTTAAGCACTTGCTTAGCTTTTTCTAGGGGTACCTCTTGAGTGTCCCTTGAATTGGTAACTGGTTTGTTGTCATTATTTTCTAAGCGAATATGCCGTAACTGGTTATTGGGAACATCTTTGACAAAGATCCATTTAACTTCAAATTTGCCCTTCCACTTATCCTGAGACCAGACACCAGCATATGCATTATAGTCCACAACAGACTTCATTTCAGCCACTCCACAAAAATGTCCACTGCCATTCACACTGAAGAGTAAATAGAGTGGGCCTTTCCCATTCAGGGAACGGTAAGCTGCATCCAAACGCTTATTACCATGCTCAGTACTACACCAGATAGAGTACTTAATGGATCGGTGTATGTCATCCTCAGAATAGCTTTTAATTATAAACACACGTCCATTCTTCAGGTTCCAGTCAAAGTCTTTGGGATTATAATTGTTTATGGCCTTTAGCTTTTCCAGCACTGGATGCACTTCTACACTAGAAGGTGAAGCACTGACAGGAACAACACCTAAACCAAAGTTTTCACCGCCCACTCCATTGTTCTGGTTGAATCCAGCTCCCCTATTCCGAGGAGCTACCCAGCGATTCTGCAGCTGTTGCTGTTGGGGCTGCACTTGGTGAGGCTGGGCCTGTGGCTGAGGTCCTTGTTGCTGCTGTGGTTGTGGTGGCTGAGGCTGCTGTTGAGGCAGTTGGCTTTGCACCAATGTTGGTGGTTGAATTAATGGCTGAGGCTGCTGGATTATAGTTTGAGGAGGCAGAACTGGTTGGGTTGGTGGAGCCTTTACCACTGACCCCTTTTCATCCCAAGTTCCAATATTCATGTTGTGTTTTATAGGAGGTGGTGGCACAGCAGAACCCCCAATTCCCACATTGCCCTTGGGTTTAAGTTTCGGTTGAGGTTTGGCAGGCTTTCTGGCAATGGCAGCCCATGAGGTCGGTTTAGGCGCTGCACTGCTAACTGGGGGCACGCTATTGGTTGCAATGCTAGTCATACCACTGCTGCTCAAGGCTGTACCTACAGTTTTTGTCACTGCAGCTGTCAGGTCACCACCAATTTTCAGTCCAGTCATGCCTTGCTCAATACTGCTAATGCCAGGCACCTTACTCAAAGTATCATTGCCAAATCCAGCCTGTCCATCCGTAATAGCTCTCCCAAGAGAACTAGGTGGATAGCCATAACTGCTACTATAAGCAGAACTTTGTGTTGATTGTCCCTGAGATCCACTTGTCCCCCATGTAGAGAAATCAGCATTACCAGGAAAAAAGTTAAATCCATGTTGACCAAGAAATGGAGGGGTATTTCCTAATGCCCCAGGTTGACTAAACACACCATCTGGTATATAATGATGTTCTCCATTACTCATTTGTCCATAGGTTGTCAGATACGGCATAGGTTGGTCTCCAGCCGTGGACCATGCTGCTTCCCCAAGAGAATATGGAAATCCAATGGATGGAGCATAGTAACTAGGCATGTATGGATCTGACATTGGTGGATAGCTGTTACTCTGGAAAACAAAAGATCATAATCAGGAGCGAAGTATCCTCTTAAGACCAGGGGGAAAAAAGGACTCTCAAAGATTAAAAACAAATAGTTTTAAATAAATGAAAACCAAATGCACTTCTTCCAGATAAAATGAAAATTTCAAACCCAATTTTATCAAAACAAAAATGTGCTGGTATTTTTATTTTAAAATATTTGTTATAAAATTGCAGGGTTTGGGGGAGGGGAGCAAGGAGGTGGGTAGGAGGAGGATTATTTCTAAGAGTCAGATCCTCTGGCACAATTTAAAAATATCATTTCTACAAAAATCTGATTTATAAACTCTGCAGACACAAATTGATCATTTACAGCCAACTTTATTTTAAACAGTTAATGTATCCAAAAACTTACATGCAAAGATCAAACAAATCTGAAATCTATGCCAAATAATAGAGGAATTTTAGAATATAGAATACCTATCTATATGATGGAATCCAATTTAGCAGTTACATTCTGTACTTTCATTAAGAAACAATAAAAGAAGGGTGGCCTGGGTGGCTCAGTTAAGTGTCCAACTTTGGCCCAGGTCATGATCTCAAGGTTCATGAGTTTGAGCCCTATGTTGGGCTCAGTGCTGACAGCCTGGAGCCTGCTTTTGATTCTGTGTCTCCCTTTCTGTGCTCCTTCCTCGCTGATGCTCTATCTCTCTCTGTCTCTCAAAAATAAACATTAAAACTTAAAAAAAAAAAAAAAAAGAAATGCTCACACTATGAGAAGAAAAAAATGACAAGATTATACCTATGGCATGATCCAAATTTGCTTCTGTTTTGTCTTGCTCATTTTGAAAAAAAATCAAAACAAAATCCTTACTGTGGTTTCTAAATGGTGGGATAATAGGTGTCGCTTTTTAGACTCTAATTTCTGAATTTTACCCAATAAACTATCACCTTCCTAATCAGAATTTTAATTTAGAAATAGTGAGTTCCTGCAATTTTTTCCAGAATTACTGCAATTAAATCAACGTTTATTTGTGAATAGTAACTAATGATTCATTTAATGATTTGCCATAAAAGAAAACACCAAATTCTATTTAAAGAAAAAAACCTCAAACTTGTTACTAGCCAATGTAAAAAACAAACATTTTAAGGATTTATTTTAAAATTGGTTTAAGCCAAAAACATGTCTGATAATAGATTTTCACCCTTTGGTTTAGGTATGATTTTTTAAAGTATTGAACAGACCTCTGAATGTATAGAATTAAGCAAAATGCAAGAATTAAGCTAATACCTAATCAGGACAACTGGAAGTCACCTTGGGAGGATGAATACCATTCTGAAGGCTGACTGTTCACTTAATTTACATAGGGATTCTTATTCAAAGTTCCTAGAGCAAAGTATTTAGCTTTTTTTGTTGTTGTTACTCTGTTCCACTCAAGAAAGTATTTCCACCACTTCTCTACCACCAAGAAAGTATATCAATATAAACGTGTGACAATAACATCATAGATACTACCTGGTATTCACATGACATTCTTTTAAGAACCTATCATTGGCAATTGACATATTTTATTATTATGAAGTTACTTGTGACACACTTTGCAACTGTCAAAATTGTCCTCTATGAGAAAGTTAACTTAATATTTTGTCTTCTGCAATGATTCCAATAAAACTGATATAAAAATAAGAGAGGGGTGCCTGGGTGGCTCAGTTGGTTAACCTTCTGACTCTGGATTTCTGCTCAGGTCATGGTCTCACAGTTCATGAATTTGAGTCCCGCACTGGCCCCTGCAGAGCCTGCTTGGGATATTCTCTCTCTCTCTCTCTCTCTCTCTCTCTCTCTCTCTGTCTCTCTCTGTGCCCTTACCCTGCTCATTTTCTCTCTCGAAACAAACATTAAAAAAAAAGTAACTTAAGACAAATAAAAGTTGCATTGAAATTACTAATTATAACACAGATTTATTGAGTATTTCCAGCAATGCTTGGTCTTAAAGACAAAAAAACAATTCTGTCACTTAGTACTATTTAAAGAAAAAACAATGACTCTTAAAATATACTTGATATAAGTATATTTTAACTACATTCAGAACGGGAAATAAATGGGTTACTGTTGACTAATTTAGTTGAGTATATTCTTCAACTGTATTAGCTAATTATTACCTATATAATGCTCAGAATATGAATACGAAGGAAATGAAGAATATCTTTGAAACCACAACAGTACTGGCATCGTCGTACAGACCAACACTGGAAATACTGACTGCTATATTTAATACTAGAGAAATTTTCAGGAAAGCTCAAAATCACCAACAATGGTTTGCAAAGAAAAACTTCTTGAAAAAATTAGTAATGATTGTTAAACTTAGTAGCCATGAAGATCACACACACTCACGTGTGTATAATCTGATCACTAAATTATTTATTAAAAATAAAAGCACTCATAGGGCTTCACACTGACAAGGACGTCCCCGTGACATAAAACTCCAAAAAGCTTAATAAAAATGAACAGGTCAGCCAATATAACATGCATAATAGATTAAAATATTTTTTAAGTTATCTTTTTTCAGCTTAAAGTTACTAAAACTATCCTTTTATTTATTAGTTTATTATTTACTTCACCCAAGCACTTATTGAATGCCTGCTTCTGAAAAGCACAGATACATTCATTCTAAAAGAAAACCTACAGTTAAAAAGACATAAAATACAGGGGAGTGAATAAATTCCACATTAGGGAAGAATACTAGAGTGTGCTGAATAGGGAGGTAATCAGTTTCAAAGTCTTAATTTAGAATGTTGGCATTAAATGTGGACTCAGTAATTCCTTACCTATTGTGGGAGTGGAAAATCAGACCAGGTAGAAAGTTTTTAAAGTTGAACTCTTCATAATCAAATTTTTTACAAAATTACACCTCTAACTTATGTTGAATATTCTTATTTCACCATCACAGATAAGAAATTTCACACTGTTACATACCAAGTTCCTAACTTATCTGTAACCATAATAATTCAGAGGTTAGCAAACTAAAGGCCAAAGGGTAAATAGGCTGCTAGCTTAGGGGTTTTTTCAGAGTGCAGAGCATAGAGTGGATCTGATCCCTGGGCTATAGTTTGTCCACCCTGTTTTAACTGATGGTCTCATCTGTACTCATTCCTAAAAAACCAGAGCCAATTTTCTTTGGAAACTGGGGAAACAAATTTCGCCAACTCTGTTACCTGTGGGGCTGGAACAGGCCCAAACACTTTTAGGTGTGGGGGCTTTTATTACAGATCTTTTCCATTGTTCTTTTAATCGTAATTTTTACTACTTCACTTCTCAATTACAGACTTTGTAAAAACGGCAAGTTTAAATTACTTTAAAATGCATTCGGTTAGTCATGAGGGCTACCAAACAGACACCTCTGGCTAATAAGCAGGCACACTGCTGTCCCCGATCTGATTATAGAGCTGTCCAGTGTTATTTCCACCACCTACACTTCATCAGTATAGTGGGTAACTGGCCTGCTTTCTGCAGTTTATCAAACAACACTAACCATTTATTTTTCCAATTCTTTCAGCAGTTTTAGCCCCATGAAAGTACTTAACCAGATTCTAAAGGCAAGGCTTCATTTTGGGTTCTAGTAAGAACAAAACTATAGAGGGGCACCTGGGTGGCTACGTCGGTTAAGCATCCAACTTCAGCTCAGGCCACGATCTCACAATTTGTGGGTTTGAGCCTCACGTCGGGCTCCATGCTGACAGCTCAGAGTCTGGATCCTGCTTCGGATTCTGTATCTCCCTCTTTCTCTGCCCCTCCCCTGCTCACACTCTCTCTCTCAAAAATAAACATTAAAATTAAAAAGAAAAAGAAAAAGAAAAAGAAAACTATAGGAAACTTTCAGAGTTTAAAAGATATGGTCAACACATTTTGAATTAGTAGAGCTTCAACAGTAATATTAAAAAAGATGTTCTGCTAAATTTAAGATAAGTTTTTAATTGCTAGCTAAGTGGAATATCAATTACAGGAATGTACCTTGGTAGTGAAGAGGAACAAAAGTTCCATTTACTGATGATGGAAAAAAACAACTCAAAACTTACTTTCACCTTTTACTTCAAACCTGGTTATAATGAGACATAATCAACTGAACAGTTTATGTTCAAATAATCACTTGAATAATTTATTCATTATTTGTAAATTGGTCAGTTATAGTGAAATTTTACTATATTCTTTGATAAAGATATGCAATCTTTAAACCAAATGATGTTGAATGTTTGATGTTTCCCTCACTATCAAAAAACTATTTGGAAGGGGAAAAATAACAATAGGTAAATACAGGTGATGGCACAATCATTGGCTGTAACGAAAGATACTTATAAGAAGAGATCCGCAGACCCTTTACTCACAGCATAAACTTAGAAACACAATCTGGGGAGGCCATTTAACCTAAGGTTGAAGTGAAGTCATGAGGTATCTGAACTCTAATCACAAACCAGGTACTCATCGGCTATGTGAAAGTAGCCAAGTTACTTAAACTCTGAATTTTTTTCTCATCTACTAAAAGGAAATAAAGATACAGTGTCTAAAACACATTAAGTATTCAATCAACGGCAGTTACATTTGTGACTACAACTTACCCCTTTAAAATGTAAATTAATCACCAAACACATGATATAATTTCAGACCTAGTCCATATCTTAAGAGTATAAACTGCTGTTGGGATGTAGTAGCTAAGGACACAGACTCAATTCTTTAATCTTTTACTTTCTGTGTCAGTGATCTCTCAGATCATATTTCTCTAACCCCGACTCTTTGGTGGTGAAATGGGAGTAACACCTGCTGGTCTTATCAATTGTAAAGATTTTTAAAATCCACTCTGTTAACTACAAAGAGCTATATGGATATAAAGTATGGGAGCTTAAGCCTTTTACCTTTAGTTTTGTGGTTTTGTTTTTTTTTTTTTAATTTGGAAACTAAAATACAGAAAAGGTTAAAAGATCTTCCTTAACATTTTTAAATCATTTCTAATTATTATTCCTTAGCCTTATGAAATAGATCAATTGTTCTTCTAGTATCTCTAAGAAAATCTGAACAAGAAGTTCAAGATCACTGCTCTGACTTGACACATTTTAATACAACTCAATTATAACCAGTCTTTCACTTATAGCAACCTAAGATCCATTTGAACTTTCCTTCCAAGAAAGAAGACTATAAATGTCTCATAAGTTCAATTAAAATAGAAAAGGCACAATTCACCAATAAAAGTACTTCTGAAAGGAGAAAAACAAAAACTTTTCCATTAAGAACCTGAGGTACTTCAAACTCCAGAAATCACTTCTGAATTGAAAAGTTAAGTGAAGGGGCACCTGGGTGGCTTGGTTGGTTAAGCGTCTGACTCTTGATTTTGGCTCAGGTCATGACCTCGAGGGTCATGTCTAGTATACTTTTAATGCTTATGTGTATTTTCTCCTAATACTTTAAAAAATATTATTGTGCTTTTCAAAAAGTATACTCTACACATATCTAATCATAAGGATGTCACAAAAAATGTTTTATACATGGTACCCAGTTAACCTAAATATTTCATCAACTGTAATTCTTTGTTCCTTAATTCTAGCAGATAACCCAATCCGTTCATTCAATACTTAATGCCTACTATGTGCTAGATACAATGCCAGTCATTGGAGACACAAAGATGAACACGGTCTCTGACCTGGAACACTTCCCAGGTCTAGTGAGGAAGACACATGTACACTACAACTTGACAGGTACTATAATGGAAGTACAACCAAAGCAAAACTTTCTGGGAGAATGAGAAAAGAATCATGAAGGGATAGACATGAGTCTGTGTATGTCTGTGTATAAATCATATACACAAATACAAAACAGATCATAAAGGAAGATATTCAGAAAATACTTATTTTTCCAGAAAATAATGAGTCCTATTTCCCCAAGCAAATTAGATGGATAAAGCTGACCAAAGATGAGGGAAATGGAGCAATTTTAAGGCCATTCATTTAATAAGCGTATCCACTGTTGTGTAGCTGTGGTTACTCTTTAACATGACAGTGACACAATCAGACTCGGACTTTAAGAGGACTGCTGAGTGGCAATATAGAATTATTAGTTAGAAAATCATTCCAACAGGCAGAGATAATGCAAACTTTAAGGGCAGTTTTCAGAATAACAAAATTCAAAATATTTTTTACTTTCTTACTCTCCATGCCACTTCTCTGATAAACGTGCTTAGGAATTTATTTCCCCATATATACAAGCAGACAAGCTCAACCTTCATTTTTCCAACTTATTCTTCAAATTTGTATGCATAAATTCCATGGCATCTGTAACAGTACCAGTTAAACCTGAATTTTCCAATCAACTTAATCATCAGATTATTCTGAGGAACTTTAGAAGACTAATTTTAAGACCTGAAGGACGAACATTTACTTTCTAAATTACTATAAAAATTATCCCTTAAGAAACTGAGCACTAGAAAACAGAATACTCTACCACAGAAGGCCAACAACCTGTGTTAAAGTATCCCTAGGTTTGATACGAATTAGATCTAAGTATACAAAACAATTTAAATCATTAGCCAAAAACATTCACCACTTTTCCAGATAAAAGATTCATTTTTGTTATTTATAATACTAAAACCAGATGAAGGCATTTAATTTTAAATTTTTTTTTTTTTTCAATGTTTATTTATTTTTGGGACAGAGAGAGACAGAGCATGAACGGGGGAGGGGCAGAGAGAGAGGGAGACACAGAATCGGAAACAGGCTCCAGGCTCTGAGCCATCAGCCCAGAGCCCGACGCGGGGCTCGAACTCACGGACCGCGAGATCGTGACCTGGCTGAAGTCGGACGCTTAACCGACTGCGCCACCCAGGCGCCCCATTAATTTTAAAGATATATTACACATCTAACTGCAAAAATTTTTAATTAAACAATTACTCAGCTAGATCAGGGCATGCTTGCATAACTGTAATCTGTGAATAATTACTTGAGATATTTCACCAACAATTCTAGTTTTCACGAACCTGCTTTAAAAGGTCCATTTTAAAAAATTTTCTTTTACCTAGGTGTTATTATGAGTAACTTGAATTCTTGTACTCCTAAGATTAAATTGTGAAACTCCTAAGATTTCAGGTAATTTTCAATTTTTATCTCCAATAAACCCAGTTTTCAACATTCCAGTGTTAGTACTCTTTAAAAGGTAAATGTGTGCCCTGATTACAGATAATTATTTTTAGTATTACAGAAACATAATTGCTAAAACCTGTTCACTAGTACTGACTAGGAGAGGGAGGATAATACACCCTTACTGGCATCAAATTTTAAAACTTCTCTTTAAACAGCATATGAGGGGCGCCTGGGTGGCTCAGTCGGTTAAGCGGCCGACTTCGGCTCAGGTCATGATCTCACAGCCCGTGAGTTCAAGCCCCGCGTCGGGCTCTGTGCTGACAGCTCAGAGCCTGGAGCCTGTTTCAGATTCTGTGTCTCCCTCTCTCTGACCCTCCCGCGTTCATGCTCTGTCTCTCTCTCTCTAAAATAAATAAACGTTAAAAAAAAAAATTTATAAAAAAAATAAACAGTATATGAATATACATTCAAATTATAATAACAATTTAATATAAAACCTAAAACCTTCTATTTATTTTTTTTTTTAATTTTTTTTTTTTTCAACGTTTATTTTATTTTTGGGACAGAGAGAGACAGAGCATGAATGGGGGAGGGGCAGAGAGAGAGGGAGACACAGAATCGGAAACAGGCTCCAGGCTCGGAGTCATCAGCCCAGAGCCCGATGCGGGGCTCGAACTCACAGACCGCGAGATCGTGAACTGGCTGAAGTCGGACGCTTAACCGACTGCGCCACCCAGGCGCCCCTAAAACCTTCTATTTAAACACCACATTAAAACAAACCTTTGTAGGTATTTTTATCCCAACATAAGGAAACTTTTATGAGACAAACTTAAAATTGGGTTCACTTCATAAATACTTTTAATTCTTAAAAAAAATAATGGTTTTCTGAAACTTTGAAAGTTTTTTTTTTACAAGTGCAATTTTATGCAGAATTCCAATACATAAAACAGACAAAAGAAGGAAGGGCACAGCTCTGGTTGCTGCATGGGTGGGATCATGGGTGCCCTTCCCTGGTTTTCCCTAGGCAGACCTGAAGCACCCCTGTGGAATGCCAAAAAAACCAATCCTCTAAGCCCCTGTGACTAATAAATTATACAAGATCTGTTACCAAGTAAAACAAGAGGATTCTTACTGGTTGTAATTTTCAAACATTTAAATTCCATTAAAACTCCTTGAAAACAGAGGCTGAACAAATAATTCAGAGGATCTTCATAAATGCATCCTTGCTTTAGAAAATCATTTTATTATAGTCGAGTATGAAATCAAGTAGCAAAAAAATTCAAATATTTAAAATTTAAAATATCAAAAATTTATCTGATCATGAAGACCTTTTTGAGAAAATATCTACTATACCTCATAGTATCAGAATTTCTCAAAATAAGTTGGCAAACTCAAAAAAAGTTGGAAACACTGCCATAAGAGATGTTAACCGAGATTACTATATGGACCCAAATATAATAGAATATCATATATATTTCTTTTAAACCTTGCACTACAATTCAAAACAAAGATCTTCTTCTATTTTCCGGTGATAGCATTCTTTGACAACCTTCAGGTGGAAAGTAAATATCTGTTATTGAGATCAGAAAATTAGATTATTTAAGTATGGAATGAATTTTTTCATTCTTTTATGAGCAGCCAAACTTTCATAGATTTTATCACCCATTTTTATTTTCTCATTTATTTACTCCCTCCCAACATAAGCTAGGAATGTAGATCAACAGATAGGAGGGGGTGGTTAACCAGAAATGACCAAGAGGTAGATCAGATTGAACATAACCACGGCGCTCCACAGTCCTGAAAATAATCCTACATACCACCAATTGGGAACTACTTCTTTTCAAATTTTCCCTACAACTGTAAAGGTCTGCAATAATATTTGGTTCCTTATTCTTTTACAATGTAAACAAAATCTAGAGGTTAAGATTTCAAGGTACATTTTTCATCTACTGTTTTTTAAGCAAAACAACAAAAGCAGTTTTCATTCCAGAATATTTTCTCCCAAGACACTAGTTAACAATGAAAGTTTCTTTTTTAAATTTATTGCTAGTGAGGACATATTTTTATTAATAAATAAACGGATGCAGATATGGTATATAGAGACCAAAGAATACTCTTGTTTTTCAATGCTGAAATCTACATTATACCTGTTTACAAATTCACAGGATTATTTGTGAAAAATCCAAACATAAAAGAACCTCAAGAGTCACCAGTTATTTGATTTTATGCAATTCTCCAAGCCTATAACATAGAAGGCGAGCATGTTTATAAAGTCTTCTATTCCCTACGTTACCTAGTTGTATTAAAACTTTAATTACCAACAAAACTCAAATTGGAAAAGAAAACACTATATTAACCAAAAATTTCAGGCATAAACTAGTCCTTTCCCACAAATGTGTAGCTAATTAAATCTTGTAATTTGCTTTGGCTATAAAGACATGGCAGCGACATTAGAAGGTTAAATTCAACGTTCAAAAAAAATCTAACCATACCGCATACAAATAATGTCCATCTTCAAATCTTTGTATTTCGCACTCTAGTTTCAGCCAGGTAGAATTTCTAAAGAATTCTCCTGTACCACAAAGCTGCAACTGCTATTCACTATTATGCAGGCACACTAGATTAATACATGTTATGGTTAGCCTCATTCAATTAAGACATCTATTTGAAAAATCAATTAATACTAATGTAAGTTTAATTTCCTAAATATGGGACTGTCAGACTTACCTGATTTGTCTGGCTACTTAAGTATGGCTCAAAATCATCATCATTTACAGCATCTTTTTGATGAATCGAACCGTTTTGTACTGAAACTAAAAAATATGTTTATATTAGATGTGTGGTAATTACCTTTATGAAACTGACAGAATAACCTAAAATTTTCAGTATTTTTCAACCAACTCAGAAAAAGTTATCCTGAGTTGTTCTTTTCATTAAAAAATCCTCTTAGAAATTTAACTTGATTTAGATACAAATATTTATGTGTCACCAAAAACTTACAAAGCTTGTATATACCCAAGATTACATAAACTATATACACCTCCCATTACCAAAAACATAATGTAAACACCCCAATATTAACATGGTAGTAAGCAATTAAATTGTTGGAAGGGTTCCCTAATATTATATTTGAATCTAAAATAACTTCAAATAGTGCTGTAGATCATAGAATCCTGAATGTTCTCTACCTTTGTTATATCTTTATATTAGTCCAATAAAGGCAAATAAAGAACGAAATTAACTTTCTTTGTAACTAAAGTCAGAGTAAATGTCTTAAAGAAAGTGGCTAAAGTTCACTGAAGCAGTTATCACAATGAATAAATTATAAAAAATCTAAAGAAAAGGGGTCTTAATTCTAAACCAAAATATTATAAAGACTTTCACTTGGAAGCACAAATAAAGTTAAGACACTAAAGAGAACCATGGTTGTTCTTCCAACACATAAGAAAACCAGAGAATAGTTTATAATGCCTTATTTGTTCAGAGATCATTTCCAAAAATGCTCTATAAAACTGTCATTCTGACTGCTGTCTCAGAGGGCTTTTGAATACAGACTAGAAGAAGGTCCTGGGTTCCAATCCCAACTCTAACACTGAGAAGCTGAGTGATATCTAGTTAGTGACTCAGCCTCTCTAACTCTCTCTCTTTATACAAAGAGGTTATTATTAGTACCTACCTCATTGATCTGAGGATTCAATGACAGTATTCAATAATCTTGGATATTATTTGACATAAAATATTACAAGATCCAAATAAGACTAAAAATTCTTTAGGACCACATAAACAGAAGTTTTACAAGGCTAAAACTTGATATAATGACACTGTCTAAATATACTATTCTACTTTTGAAACACATGTGAAATGAAAAAAGCTGAAAGTTTCTAACGGATGTTGACTAATCCCTCAGAAACAACAACAAAAAAAACCCTGCAGTATGTGAAAATTTATTGCTTAAAAATACAGTGTCACAAAGTATTATAAATTAAAGCCGGGGGTATGGATTTAAGTTGTGTGTTTCTCTATAGCATCATTACATTTTGATTTACCCTAATTTTTCCAAAGAGTTTAGATAACCAAAAATGTAGTATTATAAGCTGACAGTGGCACGGGAGCAAAGATAGGTGAAATACCTTAGTTCTTTGCCACCCACTGAGTAGGGATGATCACTCAAAGAAATGATACTACTCTGTGAAGCCTTCAAAGTAGACCTCTTATGATACTACATTGCCCTCAAATATCAAAAGAGCAACATGAAGGTCACCTTGATCCTGGCTCCACCGGGGTGGTTTAACTGTATTTGGTAAGGACTGCATTAGAGCCAAGGTTGAACTAAATATGCTCCCTAGAATTTAAACAGGTTAACAGCCACTAAAACCAAAAATAAAGAGGTGGTACCTTAGGTTATTTCTGCTGGGCTAATCATTTCAGCCCACAAGATTCTAACATACCTGTTCTCCTTTACCACCCCTTCATCAAAGGGGTCTGTCTAGTCTCTCTTGAAAAAAAATCTTCACTACACTATTGGACTATTACACTAGTACATACTATTATCTGACACAGCTACCCATTTCAAAATTACAACTATCTATTTCTTATATTCATTAGATTCTCAGAAATTTAGCCCATACTGCTCATATAGTAAACAAAAAAAAAAGTACCCCCTTAAAATCCATCTAAATGTATATTACAGTGCTATTCTTACTCATTTCCTCTGTTCTATTCTTTCTCTTCTAATTCTAAGATGCTGAGACTAAGAACAAAATATTCTCATGTACTAAGTAAATATACAGCCTGTGCATAAGTGATGCATGAATATGTCTAAAAAGTCCTAAAAGATTATTCAAGGAGTACGTCAATCTAAGGAAAAAAAATATTTAATCAAAAGTACTCACAAATACTGACAAGCGATTTGCATTAAATTAGAATCTGAATAAGCTAGCCCTTGAGTTTCAAAACCATACCTTTCCTTAAGAAATTCAGCTGTCTTAAAGACTGTAGTTTCTGAACATTACTTAATGACAAACTAATGTCTTGGAACCTGAAAGCCATTAAATAGTAAAGAAATCCAAGCCAGTTCCATAGTCTGTACAAGTTCTTCAGGGAAAAAAGAACAGATGACTTACATGATTCTTCGCCTGTTTCCTCTGCTCTATGAAGCAGAGTCAAATCAAGATAGAACATGGGCCTTAGGAGCCAGGTGATTCTTTGCTCTGGTCCTGACTACATCAAGTTAGGAAAGTCAACAGATCTGTGCATCATGTTTTCCCACCTATAAAAACAGCGACAATACCATATACCCTCTATCTCCTTACAGGAATGTTTTGAGGATTAATAATAAAATGAAGCCTAAAATGACAATAAAGTGCTTAGCAATCATTTCCAGAGGGAGTGTGGGGAGAGGACACAAAAGAATACTGCATTTTCTACTACTTTTCTGAAACACTAAATAACAGCCAAATTCAACCTAATTCTTTTAACCTGCAGTTGTACCAAGCAATTCTGTCCCTCTGTTGGAAAGGGATGGGGGAGAGAGGAGGGCAAAGATAAACTCCTTTCCATGTACTGGTCTATTTTTACACTTAAGGCACAGGAGAAAGTTGGTAGCAAGACTACTAGGAGTATGGGATCTGACACTTTTATCTGTGGTGCCTGCGGGAAAAGGAGAGGTTCCCATTTATCCTAGCAAGCAAAACTTCTACTTATTAATAAATAACAGTGATATAATATCAATTTTAAATTACAGACCGATATAAGTAAATAAATAAAGGACCAATAGTTAACTAGCCTTAAATTTCTACTAAGCTTCAGTACTACCCTAGCCACATATAATAAAAGAGTACTAATATTTAATATAAGGAAAATCTATTAACTAAAAAGAACTCAAACTTCCAAAAAAAGTACACCCAGAATTACAACGTATACCATGAAAGCATTTTTGCCTTACAAAGAGATTGATACAGAATTCCTTTCACATTTTAGCTGTTAGTGCATATCCTTAAGGATATGCAGGGAAAAAAGCCTTAGAAAATCAAAAACACTAAAGACAGGTGTTAGGCTAACACTGTCAAATGAAGATAATTCAGAAAAGAAATACAGCATCTCTGAAATTATATTAAGTCAACTGAAGAAGTTTCTGCTTTCAGAACTCTGACAACTCCTCAGCAACATATATTTTTTCTGTTTGAGAAGGTCTGAATTCAAGTTTAGTACTCATATTCTTAAACCACTCAGGCTGTAGTTCAAGAAAAATAACTTTGCTTTCTGCTTCACAAAAGTAAACAGAATAACTGTAAAACACTTTTACTAGCTTGAAAACCAAGTCAGCTAAGGCACAGGAGTTTTTCTCAAATACACACATAGCTACTTGTATCAGTTCACTGGAGTGCTGCCTTCGCCTTGTAATTCTCCCTGCAGGGGCATAAAAATACAAGTAATGTATATGTGTATTTGTGCACTTGCGGCATGTACCATTTTAAAGCATCTTAAATGATTACCAATACTTTTAGGCCAGTAGAGTTTTTCCCTCCTGCCATGTCTTAGAAAAAGTCTCCCTGCACCTTAAAAATAGATGAGGTGAGGCAGGTGAAAATAAATCCAGCAAATAAAATGGCCACCAGAGCAGTGGACTCCCGTAATTGTCATTCCTCATAACATACAATAGGATTTACAGCTAGAATTACCACTTTCGTTTTACAGATAGAAGGGGAAATTCTGACCAAAAGGTGCAATGTGTTCAAGCTCACTTGGCAAGTCAGTAGCCACAGGAAGTATTAGAACACAGGTCTCCTAGTGATCCCAGTCCATCGTTCTATCCATGGATAAAACTATGAACGGGACAATAAGGGTGAAAAAAAGAAAATTTCTTAGAATAAAGAGCTATCCAAATAAATACTTTTGTGTGTCTAAATACATCTAAAAGAGGTTACACTGATGGATCAAAAAAATTTCAATAACCAAAAAATATTTATAGTCAATATGCAATAGTGTCATAGGTAATTTACAACTATAACATCAAAGATACCACCTAAGTGAAATGACTATATCACAGATTAGTTCAGTAATGGCTTACAATGCTGTAGATGCTTTATGTTGTTTTGTCAAACAAGTATGTACTTCATTGAACTTGCATACTTACCTTAGAGCAGGTAACACAAAACACTTAGCATTTCAAATAGCCTTGCAAAGTGCCACCTCCCCACAGATCTAGGATAAAATAATTTATGCTAGGCAATAATGACCACAGATTTCATATATCTCCAAGTCTATATACTTCCTCATGAGCAGACTAGCAAAAAAAAAAAAAATTAATGGATCATTCTTTTCAAATTTACAAATGAATATTTTAAAACATTTAAAATAAACAACATCGAATTGAAGTTTATGCTTACAACAGAAAATAATTCTAAAATTAAAATTTTACCTCTAAAAATTAAAAACTGAAATTTCTAAATACGTACATACTCCCCAAAAATACATCCTTAATCAAAAGAAATTCATGGTAAATTCATGGTATCTGATACAGTGCCATTTATCTGGTATGTACAAATTCTCAAATAAAATGCACTACAACTCAAAGAAAATTAACTGAGTTGAGTACTCAAAACCTATTCTTTTCGAATTTGCAAAGGCAAATAAAAACGCTAAACGTATAAAGAACACCAATAAAGACTGTGAACTTGTATCTCAAAAGCTACTGTACATCTTATTTTTTAGGTAATACCATACTACTGAAATAAAAAACAGGAAACATAATTCTATTTAGTCTGATATCAAGACCTATTACAAAATGTTATAAATATATAATTCACTGTAATGTTAATTGGCACTGTCCCAAGAAAGCAGTTATTGTTCTATACTTACTAATGTCACATGATTAATGTCATAATGTTTCAGTCAGTTGACTGTATTTTCCATATTAAGAGGCACAAAATACACTTATTTTTTTTAATGCTTTACTTTTCAATAGTACTTTTTTTTTTAAAAAAGACTAAATCATATCACCGTAGCAGAAACCTCACAAACTATTTCCTTCTCAGTCCTTTCTAAAATACCAGCTTGAGTCACACCTTGCCACCAGGACTGCGCCTGTTCAGTTTTGATCTCTCTGGTGTTACTGCCTCATTGCAACTGACTTCAGTAGAACCAGTGATTAACAGTACAATTTTCACTAACGTGACATGGAATACAACTTGAGTTGCATTCTCCAGTGTAACCTAGCAATGTCGAACACCATGTCCACTTATCTGCACACATTTGTAGAAATTTTTGTGGCAGAAGTTACATAATACAGATAAATTGCAAAATTAAAGACATGTCACCACATTCCTAGTACCTCCTTAACTGAGATACAACTAAGAAAACTGTTTCTCCTGCCACTCTGGTTTCTATGAAAGTGGCTTCAAAGCAAGGGAACCACAGAAGTTTGGGACAGCATTTCGCTGCTTTAGCCATGATGAATATTTCTCTAAACATACATTTCAAAACACACAAACCAACCAACCCCCCAAAATGGTGCAAAAAGGCCCTCTCAAAGTTTAGAAGTCACATCGAACCAACATTAAGAAATAAGAGAAAAATATTCAAACTCACCTTTATTTCCTTGCCCTTTAGGTCTCTGCGCAGCAAGACGGAAGGTGTGATAATGAGAAGAAAAAAGAGAGAGAAAGTGTGTTAATCAAAGACATTATCAAAGACAAGTTATTTTCAACAATCCGCGTAGGAGTAAAACCCACCACATCCTCCATAGCCTCCAATTTCCCAACCACCCCCAGTCTTTAAACCTCCCACCCGCCACTCAAAACCCGTCTCCCAGACCTCGCCTGGTCTCAGCCCCACGTCGGCCGCCCTCAGATGTGCCCTAAGGCCCCCTAGGAGCGGTCCTTCCCCCACCCACCGCGGCCCCGCGGCCTCCCGCCTCGGCCGCAGGCTCGGGGGCAGGGCGCACGCCCCGGCCCGGGCGGCAAGACCGCAGCAACTTGAGCCCAGAGCACCGTTATGGGGCCGGCAGCGGCGGCGACGGGGAGGAGCCCGAGCCCCACGCGAGGGTGGAGCTCCGGGGCTCGGGCCTTCGCCGAGCCTGAGGCCTCTGCTCCCTCACCTGATCCACGCTAGTGGCTGACATTCTTCACCGCAACCCGAGAGCTGCTGCTGCCGCCGCCGCCGCCGCCGCCGCCTGGGCCTCTCCCCGTGCACTCACAGCAGTTGGCTGCCGCCCTCGGCCGAGTGACTGATCCAGCCGCCGCCGCTGCCGCCGCTCGCCGAGAAGCCAGAAAGACGGCCTCGCGCTCGGGGGTCCGTGGAGGGGGCCCTTCTGCTCGGCGTGCAGGCTGCTCTTCCCCCTCTCGCTCTCCGCTCCTCGGGTCCACAATGGCGGACAGACTCCCTAGTCTCACTTCCGCTCCGAGCCTCCCTGACCTTCCGCTCTCCACTCTGACGTCCCTGCTCACCTCGCTCTTCCTCCCCCACTCACCCGCCCGCTACCGACCTTGGCTCCGCCTGCGCGTCGCCACGTCACCGGAGACGGGGACCGCGGGTCGGCCCCTGGACGCATGCGCCGGGGAGGCAGTGCGCCTGTGCGGCCGCGAGCGCCACCTTCCAGGGTCGCTTCTGCGGCTTTTTTCGGTCGGGCTCGCATGCTGCGGGGCGCGCGGCGGGCGGCTGTAGCGGGAAGCCGGCCGGAATGGGATGTCAGCGCACTCTGGGCAGGAAGTGCGGCTGCCAGGGATTGCGGAGCCGGGCCGGAGGCGCAGGGCCGGCGGCGCCCTCCTTATGACGGAGAGGACGTTGGTGGGTTGCAGCGTCGCAGCCACCGCCGCACCGCTCCGGGTGCGCGAGCAGCGGTGGCAGGGCCTCCGCCAGAGCCTCCTGAGGCCATCCACGGCCACGTGGGCGGCTGGGTGAGTCAACCACCCTCGGGACAGAGTTGCTGGGCCTTCCGCAAGAGTTCGCACGTGCAGCGAAAGTGGCCAGGTCAGAGCTCTGGGCACTAACACTTAAAAGCAAATAGGAGGTGCGCCGGCAAGTGTTGGTTCTCACCAAAACCCAGGCACATGCTCAGAATAACTCACGATGCTTCCATAACCTCTGGAGTCAAATTTACCACCCAATTCCTACACTTGTGTTCCCCTCCCCTAATGTTAAGTTGATTTTGTCGAAGAAGTTACCTCGGCAAAGGTACGCATAGTTACGCGAAGCTTTTCAGTCGAAAAGTTAATTTCAAAAGAAACTGGTAAAGTTACTCTTTTGCAAATTGGCAAAACGAAAGTAGCCGATTTGCAAGATTTTGAAACTTATGTTGAAATAATGTCTTTGCAATAAAGACAAAGATTTCTTGCCTAACAGATATAATGCGGACTCTAAAAAAATATTTTAGATTAGTAAATTCTTTCTTTACTTAAACGCCGTCAAATAAGTGATAATTGAGAAAGTATGAAATTGTTGAATGATAGGATTCATTTTGTGTTTTACACTACAACGTATTTTAGAAGCACTGAGAAACAGAACTGGAACTTATCTTGAGAGTTTACTGCTTCTTGTAAATCACCAAGAGCCATTTTTCATATCAGGTCAGCTTCCCATGCTCTCTTATTTTGCCACAGGTCCCAGGGACTCAAGTGGAATTTCAGCTCAGGTTGATCACTCTTGCCACTTCCCAAGACTTCTCCCACCCTTCCAATTACTCTTCTCAATCTGCGGTGTACCCATTCTTCATTCCCATACAGAACTTTATGGCGTGCAAGAGTTTGCTGCTACATGCTATGAGGGGGGAAAGAATATACAAGAGGAAGCTTGTGAAATCTTACAGGCCTTGTCCTTAATTATCTTTGTTGAAAACAATGGCTTTGGAATCCAACCCACTGGAGTTTGAATTCTCACTGGGCTAGAATTAGTTGCATAACCTTGGGAAAGTTACTGAAACTTTCTAAGACTTAGTTTCCTAATAAATAAAGGTCAGATATGTACAATTCCTGGCAAAGAGTGAGCTTCCAACAAGCATGGCCAGTTTCAGATTCCTTTGCTAAACAATTACCAGAATGGTGGGAATAGCTTACGTTCATTGAGTGAATGTTCATTATATGTCAGGCACTGTAATTATTTAAATCCTCACAGCATCTTTGTGTTTGAGTTCTGTTGCAAAAACTAGCACACAGTAGGTTAAGAAACAGAATAACAGCTAGTCACTGGGAGCCAGGATTTAAACACAGGCAGTCTGGCTCCAGAGCTTGTGCTCTAGCCACCATAAAATACTGCCTAATGACATGATGTTGCATGAGCTTTCTGTTCTTTCATTTCTGCTCTTCAACAGTCTCCTTCCTTGCTTATTGCACTTCCTAGCACTGAGGTCTGAATTTGCAGAATGGAGTGGTAACTACCATGAAACATAAGCCCATTTAATTTAGTATTAAATATTATTGTTTGAAGTACTTCAAGGGAACTACCTTAAATCATCTCTTCCAGAAGTATGCAGATGAAATTTTCGAAAATTTTTGGAAAATGCTGCTCTAGAGTTTAGATTCTAGACAAAATTTGACTTTTCTACAGGGCCACCAGTATATATCAGGCTCTTGGTAAACAAAACACTATTCAAAGCTTGGAAAGGAGTGGGTAGGTTAGGGTTCAGCCCCCATTTACCCGTTGGCCATCCCGGTGCCCTATCCAGTAGACTTCTGCTTCTCTATAACTCTAAGCGATGGCCCTGCATTTCTGCATGACTTTTTCTATCAGTTCAGATTAGGTTCAGCTGCAGGTGACACCAAGTCCAAATAATAAGAACTTAAGCTAGAGGTTTGTTTTTCTCATATATATATATATATATATATATACACACACACACACACACACGCATATGTATGTGTGTATATATATGTGTATATATATGTATATATACATATGTGTATGTGTGTGTATACATATAAATCTGGACATTGTCAGTCCAGGGCTTGGGCTGTTGTCACAGTGTTAGGTATCCAGACTCCTAGCCTGTTGGTCCACCATCCTCACGATAACACTGTGATCCAAGATGGCTGCTCAACTTCCAGGCATCGTATATTCCTACCAACAGAAAGCAAGGTGAAGAAAAGCATGTCTCTCTCCTTCATGGACATTTTGAGAAATTGCATTTCCTACTTCTGTCTACCTCCTACTATCTAGAACAGTCTTATGAAAACACCTAGTTGAAGGAAACTTGGAAAACATTCTGGGTAGCCATGTGTCAGAGAGTTTACTACGAAGGAAGAAGGGGATGGTAGGTCATGGGAGATAACTAGTTAATACCAAACTGTGTGCATAATTACCCAGATTGACTTCCTTAGCTCGTACTAGAGTGTTGATTTGAGGGTTACAAATAAATTTCAACTGAGTAGGCATCTGCAAGTACAGAAACACAAGAATAATAAGAATCAATTGTATTTAAAGTGACAAGTATAGGGGTGCCTGGGTGGCTCAGTCGGTTAAGCATCCACCTCTTGATTTCAGCTCAGGTCATGATCTCACATTTAGGAGATTGAACCCTGTGTCAGGCTCTGCACTGACAGCACAGAGCTTGTTTGGGATTCTCTCTCTCCCTCTCTCTCTCAAAATAAATAAACTATATATAAACAAATAAAGTGACAAGTATAGTGATTGACACAGTGTCAATAATAATTCAGAGTTCCTTTCCCTTGCAGGTACATACTATGATATTGACTTGTTAAAATTTTATATGAGTACTGTGGTTCTCTAAGTTAAATATATTAAAAAGCAATGTGCAGATTAAATATGTCATACGTAGTTGAATCATAGAATGTCAGATACAACTTTCTAGCTTATGAGAAAATCAGATTTAGCTTAAATGTTTTAAAATTAGAACATTTTTCCAAAACACAAACAATCCAATTAAAAGATGGCCAGAGGACCAAAATAGACATTTTTCCAAAGGAGATAAAGACATGTCCAACAGACACATGAAAAGATGCTCAACGTCACTCATCAGGGAAATGCAAATCAAAACCACAATGAGGTATCACCTTATGCCTGTCAGAAGGGCTAAAAGTGAAAAAAGGAAAAATAACTGTTGACAAGGTGTGGAGAAAAAGGAACCCTCATACACTGTTGGTGAGAATATAAATTGGGGTAGCCACTGTGGAAAACAGTATGGAAGTTCCTCAAAAATTTAAAAATAAGAACTACCATATGATCCACTACTGGGTTTTTACCCAAAGAAAATGAAGACACTAATTAAAAAAGACATACACACCCCTGTATTTATTTTAACATTATTTACAATAGCCAAGATATAGAACTAACCTAAGTGTCCATCAATAGATAAATGCATAAAGAAGATGTGATACATACACACACACAAAAATACATGGGAATATTATGCAATTATTAAAAAGGCTAGATCAGGCCATTTGCAACAACATGGATGGATCTAGAGGGTGTAATGCTAAGTGAAATAAGTCAGACTGAGAAAGACAAATACGTGATTTCACTCATGTGGAATCTGAAAAAAAAAAATGAATAAACGAATCAGATCTATAAATACAGAGAACAAACTGGTGGTTGCCAGAGGGGAAGAGGGTAGAAGATGGGCAAAATGGGTGAAGGGGAGTGGTAGATACAGGCTTCCAGTTACGGAATGAACAAGTCAAAGGAATAAAAGGCACAGCATAAGGAATATAGTCAATGATATTGTAGTAGCATTGTGTGATGATAGATGGTAGTTATGCTTGTAGTGATAGTAAGATGTATAAACTTGTTAAATCACTGTGTTGTATACCTGAAACTAACGTAACATTGCACATTAATTATACTTAAATTAAAAATTTTAAAAAATAAACTTACAACACTTTTGTCAATACTAAATCCACCATAAGCTCAAAGACTGACTACACGTAATTAAAAGGGATTTGTACTTCCCGGAATTTCACATAGATATCAAATAAAAGATTTTAAAAGGAAAAAGATTCATTTTTAATGTGAAAATGTTAAAGAATTCCAGTTTTGCTTATAAGTGTTTTTTTAATTGGAAACTTCAAATGGAAAATCTTCATATTTCTGATAAATCTAACAATTAGATTTGGATTGAAAAGGACAATACTTGTAAATGTCATTCAAAAGTCAGAGTGGTACAGTCAGTTA